GGATAGAAGATGAGATCACGGACCGTATAGCAAAAGCTCGAGATGTTTTTTTGCTAGTCTATGTCGCTTATGGCGGCGGCACGACATCACTCTCGCAGTGAAGGGTAGAGGGTACAATGCAGCGGTACTTTCGACCTTACTACCCTGCGAAATCTGGCCCCTAAGATCAGCGGAAATAGAGGCTACTCAAGTTCGACCATCGGTGCCTTCGCAGTTTGGCTCACATCTGGTGGGAACAGCGCGTGAGCAACGGACGTGTTCGACGCTTTGTTTACGGTACAGGAAAAGGAACTGAACCGCTTAGCCCAGTCATTTCACGCACTAGGCTCCGATGGCTCGGCCACATGTTACGCATGCGAGCCCCCCGATTCCCGCGCCGTTTGCTCGCCGTGGGTGTAGATGGAAGAAGAGGAGAGGTGGCCAAGCGATGACTTGGTCGAGAGTAATTAAGACCCTCACTTCGGAGCTAGCCTCTGTTGGAGCGTCATGGCTCTCTGGTTGGGATCCAAAAGACGATAAACACCTTTGGTTAAATACACTTGCTGACATGGCTGGGAGCGGACCTCAGTGGCGTAAGTTTCTTTGTCCCTCCTCATCCCTTTGAGCCTCCCCCGCCAACCACGATCTCAGTTCACAGCATAATATAATTTTACATAATTTTTTGTTACCTAGTAGCTTCCCGGAACGATGCCCACCTGTTGCTGATAGCTCAGCTGGCAAGCAACTGTTGCATTTATTGCTTTTTTGTATTGTGGCACAGTAGCTGAGGTGTTTCCCACCTCTAGCTAACGTGTATAATGCTGACAATGATTATGCCACTAACCATTCTTTAATCGTCCTATTATTCCTCTCCGTCAATCCGTTTGTCTGGGGATGGTAGGGAGTGGTTCGTATTTTTTTGATGCCCAGTTTCTCCAAACATGTCCCAACTTCGTCGCTTTCAAAGATTGAGTCCTGATCTGTCAGTATGGCCTTCGGAACCCCCGTAGCTCATTATCACGCGTTTCATCGGCATGTGTTATCGTACGAACCCGTTGATCAGGAATTGCTGGGGCTACAATCCATTGGGTGAAGTGCATAATCATCACGACTATATAATGATGGCCTCGTCTTGTTAACGGGAACGACCTTATCACGTCGACTGATCAAAACTCACCAATCTCGGACAACGAAATCGAGAGCATAAATTGTGGTGTTCATTAAATGTCTCACTTCAAGAGCTGACACGACGTCTTTTTTAATGTCAGGCAAGTAAGCTCGCTAGCTAAGAAAAGTTTATGTCCTGGTGCACGCACTGTGAGCAATCTCGTGACAAGATCACCAACTTTCTCCTAAATTTCGGGGAAACCACAGGCACCGGAGTAGCGACTCGCCCTTGTGTCCACAGCAGAATTCTGTCTTCGTTGACGTGAAGCTTTTCCAGAATCCACGCGAACGACCCAAATTGCTGGCCTTGAGTTTTGGTTTCAGAAGCTTTATTCATTATTCGTGCTGTTATCATCCTGTTCAGGAATCCGTCCTTTCGTTGTTCAGTCGCCATCTCTCCCGGATCCTGCTCCACTGACACCGAAAGCGACGCTCTGTAAATCATCCTCGTTCGCCATGAGCGATAAAAAAAACCCGCCGTCCCGTTGTTTTACCTGATATGTGATTTATCCTGAAGTCATCTTCTTGTAGGCCAGGGCCAATCTCGCCAACCCGCCTCTGAAGTCTCTGGAGGACCTAATCCAACGTTTTGACATGAAACCGTTGACTAAGCAAGTACGATCGCCACTTGTTCAGAACCCAAGGAACTGTCAGACACTCCTTCTCTACTGTAAAATATTTGCATTCGGAGGATGTCAAAGTTCTGCTAGCGATGGCCTCCTGCTTTTGCTTCAACACCTCACCGATTTCGACATCGCTTGGGTCTGTGACCACCGTGAAGGTTTCTCCGGAGATCGGCTATTTCAATAGCGGTTTCTGTCCCGCCATCTCCTTCTGAATATTCTCAAACGCTCGCCGAACTATTATCCAAGTAAATTTCTCCCCTTCTTACGACAGCTAATACAAAGGTGACGCCAAACTGTTAAGATTACAAACGAATTCACTGTAATATCCGGCGCGGCCCCAAAATGCCCGAAGACTGCATTTTGAGGTCGGGACTGAAATGCCTCGAATTTTCAATACTTCCTTCGGCAACGGCGTGATTTCACCCTGACTCACCTTGTGATCTCAAGCAGTGTCACAGACATTTCCCCGATTTGAGATTTAGGCCCATTTATCCTTAACCCCCAATGCTGAATCTCTTACAACATCGCTTCCAAATGACGGCAGTGTTCTGTCTCCGATTCACTAAATGCTACGGTGTCGTCTCCATACACAGCCACACTAATTCATCCAGCAGGCGTAGCATCGAACGCCGGAAGGTGAGTGTGGCACCAGACAATTCAAACGGCATCTTTCTAAATTGGTACTGCTTATCGCCGACTGTAAACGCTGTCTTCTCCCGGTCCTCTTGTTTGATCGCCAGCTGCCAGTAACCAGATCTCAGGTCCAGTACGATGAATATTCTTGGCTTCTGCAGCCTTTCCAAAATATTTGCGACTGGTGCCACCGGGATGAAACGACTCAACAAGATTTCGTTCAGCCATCTGAAGTCTACGCAAAAGCGGTACTTCCTGTTGGACGTATTCACCCAAAAAACTGGGGAGTAATAGGGGCTGTGAGCCTCTTTGATTACACCTGCATACAACAACTCCTGCACCTGCCTTCTGACCACAGTCTCCAGGTGTATTGGTATACTAATGGGTCCATGCGGCAGATACGGCTAATGCTATAGCGGAATTGCGTGTTCAACCTAGTCACAAAACTTGTTAGAGATACTATTGTCCGTGGATAGGATCTCGTACCTATCTACGAGCGATTTCAGGGCTAGACTTGTATGTAAAACTGCTACGATCGAATACACGCGTGTGGAGCCCTCTCTGCCCGCAAGTGGTATAGCCCTTTATTTCCTCATCAGCTTTCCTCGTTTCAGATCGACGATGGTCTCGCCGACTTGAAGAAAGTCTGCACCAGGACTATCCGTTACGTGTCCGGTGACACGACAAAGAGATGGTTGAACTTCGACCGCTGATACCAACCAAGTGCTCCGCCATAACATTTATGCGTATATCGTAACCGCCGATCACCTTCACCACAATGGAACACGGCTGTTTTCATCCCATCTCTTTAAATGATTACGGAAAACGCGGCTCCTTTGTCAATCAAACACCTTTTGATTTTTCCATTCAGCTCTACAATCGCCCTTTTGTTCAGCGCCCCAAATAGTACTCCCCAACTCGAGAAAAATACGGTTTATAACTTTGATTTGGTGCAATGGGTGTACCGCGCTTTGATGGACACTGCCGTTTCTAGTTTCCTGATCTCCCAATGGGAAGCATGGTCCCTTTGGTTGTGTTTGTTGACAGAGAATTCGAAGTGCCCCGATGTCTTCTTGGGTAATTTGTTCAAGCCTCTCCTATAGCCTGTCCAATCGCTCCTCCTCTTCTTGGTCTTCAGCTCTCAATACAGCCACTTCCTCATGTGCGAACTCTCCTGCCACTTGGGCGAGCTCCGCCACGCCCGTTCTCTGAGTAGCGTTCACAGTTCGGAGCGGATTGGTAATCATCGGAAGTAGACCGTCCATAAACCGTTCCACTAACCGTTGGTCTTGACGCATCGTTCAAGCTGGGTAGCGCTCAGTCCAGCAAGCCACTAAGGTGGACAGCGAAGACGAACGGGTCCGCTCCCACTCCAAGCCTGGCCGCCTTGGATCGCCGCATCGCATCCTGGCGGTCGGCCGGGCTGCCGAACCACGATATTAGCGCCTCTCGCGGCGGCCCATTCCAACTCGACTGTGCCCCTTCGCACCGCTTCAGGATCGCTTTCGCCCTGCCTTTGAAGAGACGCCGCAAGGCAACCAGCTTCGCTCCTTCCGTCTTCACTTCGACTGCATCCGCAACATCTTCGAAGCCCCTCCAAATATTCCACCTCTCGTTAGTTACGGCACCAAATGTTGAGCACGCAAAGTGGTGCAGTCGAACCAGGTATTAGAGAACCCGGGCTCATTTGCGCACTTCCTTCGTGGTACCTTTCTGACTCGCCGTTCCGCTGCACCTTTTCATTCACAACGCACAGGTGGAGGCAGATGACTGCACCGCGCCTCCTTCATCTGGCTGAGTTGTCACTACGCTTTCATCGTCCGCGGCGATCGACGATTTCTCTGATTTCTTGCGCCTCATCCTTTCCACACATACTGCTCAATAGTAGCGCATCACACCTCCAAAGTTTCCGCGGCAGTCGATCTCCCACTCAGTCTCTCCGACTTTCGAGGCTGTTCAATGTATATCGTAGTTTCTTTCCCTCGTTTGTGCTACCTTCTCAATTCGATAGTAGGATTGCAGCGTAGCACACATTACATTTGATCGACAATTTGATATCCCATTGTTTCCATAGATTGCTGGGGCTTCGAAAGACCATACGAAACACACCAGGGCTAGCAGCAGAACAATACAGGGGTTCGTTAGCGCGGATGGGTGAGGTGTAGACTATCTACAATGATTATCTGGTAATCTTGTGGACAGTTTGTGGCGTACATGCCTAAAATAGGATGAATGAGGGTCTAAAAGTAGATCAATGTAAGGGATGCGGTTACGATTACTCTGGGTAAACCCTACAGGGCAGGCGGAACTTTATCAAGTTAAGAGCTATATTTCAAACTGCTAAAAAGTAAAACGTCTATTTGATATAACAAGGAGTTGCCTTCCATGATAAGCTCCGAAAACAAATCCCAAGAGACTGAATATGATAAGAATAAGTGCAACGAGAGAATGGTCATATGGAAGTGAGTCACTGCCATCATCAAAATATGCCTATCACTAAGCGAAACACGAGGTAAGAGTTCCGTGTGGTTAACCGCAATGGAACGAAAGAAAAGGAATGGTGGAACACATAAAGTGATGAACATTCGGGCTTACATCAACGTCCACAACTGTCCCGTGCGAATAATTGCAGCGTATACCCCGGTAGCATGCCCCATGCTCGAGTAGGAGAGGGCATGGGACATCGGATGAACGAGTCGGATGAGCATAAAATACACGAAGACGACCGGACGACTGGCAGGTTCCGGAACTGTCATTATCAACTAGGTCAAATATAACAGCACTCTGCAGGATAAACTTTCCGCTGGCGGTCCATCCGGGCACACTACATCTTTGGCCTATCAGTCGATCTGTGATTTCTGCAACATCGACCTTGTGGGCATTTGCCGAGTCGGCTGATGGCTCGTTTGCAACTACTGACTGCAATTCCGCATCCACCAATTCAAGAAGCTGCATCTTTTTTTCCTCCAACAATTGTCCTTCCTTAATGTTGATCAATTCCACCAATTGATTCCTCAAAGTGTCCAGCTCATGCAAACCAGCGTCATCAGGATTGTCAGTCAGCTGCTTGGTAACTTCAGCAAGAATAACCCTCAGTTCGTCTAAATCGCTGGATAAATCAGAAGACATTGGGATCTGGAAAAAAGCAGGGTACCTTTTCAAGCTGTCTTTACAAGCAACAAAAGTGCAAGTCACTGGTAACATATCAGAAAGACCCCAATCGGGTAAATTGAATGGTTTTCCGTATTTGGTAGCACACATGCGTGTATTAATTAGGATGCGATTTACGAAACCACGCGGTGTATAAGAAAGCAGGGTGAGTGTCGTCAATATGACTGTAACTTGATTAACTATGCAAGAAATTCTCCAGTTCGATAGTCGTCTGTACCCTACCATTCCTCAACCATCGCAATGAGGCTGGACCTTACCGTGGTGCGATGGTTTGTGTGCCTCAGTGATTCATTGAGCTATACTGGGTGGTGCATTTTTGCACCTTCAGAGTCACTCATACCAGATTGCTCAATGGTTAGAGGCCAGACAAACTCAGCCTCCTGGTCCTCCAGGTTGGGGGTTGGAATGAGGGTGGCTCCTTATTCCTTAAAACGGACTCCTTGTAGCCCAGTGCCAAACCCGCTGCCTTGTGGACAGGTTTTTTGAACCAAAGGCTTTGGTTGAGAACCCTAATCGTTTTCCTGTCTAGGCCTGGGCAACCTGATAGTATCCTGCCCACGCAATACTATGAATCCCACTTACCACCGGTGCCTTCGCAATTTAGCTCACATCTGGTGGGAACACCGCGTGAGCAACGAGCGTGTTCAACGCCTTGTTTACGGCACAGGAAAAGGAAATGAACCGCTCAGCACCGTCATTTCACGCACTAGGCTCCGATGGCTCAACCGCATGTTACGCATGCCAGCCCACCGACTCCCGCGACGTGCGTTGTTTGCGCGCCGGGGGTGTGGATGGAAGAAGGGGAGCGGTGGCCAAGCGATGATTTAGTCCAGAGGAATGAAGGCCCTCACTTCTGAGCGTCTCGGCTCCCTGGTTGGGGTCCGAAAGACGATGAACACGTTTGGTTGGACACACCTGCTGATATGGCTAGGAGCCGACCTCAGTGGCGTTCGTGCTGTGTTTCTTTGTCCCACCCCACTCCTCTTAGCCTTCCCCATGTATTATTTCCATTTATTGCGGCACAGTAGCTGAGGTGTTCCCCACCTCTAGCTAACGTGTATTTTAAAATATAAAATCATTCCTCAAGTTTGACGCAAGGTCGTATTCTCTGTGCGTGCGTGTGCGTACTCAATTTGAAAAACGTTTATGCGCTTGTCGTTTACCACGTTGGGATTTTGCTGCGAGCACTCCGATTGATGTCAACCGTTTTCATTGTGTGAACCGTCCCCTATCTACACATTCGCTCTCCGAACGCCTGTAGGCAAATCATGCGTTGTGTCTGTATGTAAGCTTGCGTGCCCCGTGCACATGTCTGTGACCACACAATGACCTTGACCCCCCCACTCCACCCTTCACCAGATGGCTGCCTTTGGTACTTCACCCCTATTCGCCAAACGTGATCACTAACTGCATCGGGGTGTGTCGCATTCCAGACCACAATCCAAACACGGTATCGGCTATGTGGTTTATTCAACTTCGCTGCTCATATGCATTTTTTTATAGCTGACAAACTGACTATGATTCCCTCGTATTGAGCGCTTCATTAACGCAATTTTTACTGACCAAAGAACGCTTACAATTGAGGTTTGTTGTATTATGTAATTAAGTTTATGTAATTAGCACTGTAAACCTCGGATCCATCTTGTGTTTTTAACTATTCGGGATGGTTTCGTGTGCGTTGCTCAACCACAGCATCTTAGTCGTTACAATGTCTATTTCACAGATTATGTGAGTGATAAAGATGATGTAAAGAGCAGAATCTAGCTACAATCCTAGAAGGCTGTAACCAGGACGCGAGTACTGAGCCCCAAAATTAACCTGAAGGATCCTTTGGTACTACCTGGGAAATTGACGAAAGGGAGCACTTAAAAGGGGGTTGCGTATACCGAAAACCGTGCTTTTTCACATGGTCTATCTTCACAGGGAAGCGGACATCTACTAAAGCTGTCCACTTGTAGTCCGGCTACAAAGTGGAGACAAACGACTAATCACATGATTACCAGACACACAAGGGAACAGTACTGTCTAATTGGTCAAATCAGATCTGTATGACGAGTACGGTGGATGTCGCTGTCCCGAATAGCATCTAAAGGTTAGTTTAAATAACAACCATAGGAAGATGTCTTAAGAAGCAAATGAATCAACAAAAGGACCAATCGCCGGAAACATAAGGAAACGCAGAACAGGATACGTCTGTCAAACGAGCTCACTATTTGGCATAACAACACTAGTGACGTACCGTACTGATAACAATCCAATCATCCGAAAGAACTGATAAACAACAAACCATTCACAGGGACGGTAGCATAGTTAACACTGAACATCACAAAAATACCAATAATCAGTATTCAAGTGAACCCATCAAATATCGGAAATCGAACATCGCAGAGTCACCAGATGGAAGTTTCGGTCCGATTGAAGTTGAAACCTGGTTGCATTCAGATGGTGCGACGTGAGGTTATGCATGAGGTATCAATACGGAGACAGTCAAGAATAAGGAGGTCAAGTAAGTAGTAGGGTGATAAGAAGTGAGGAAACACTAGTTAGTCAAATGCATTCAAGTAAGCAGTGGAAAAAAGACAATGTGTGAAAACTTCGTAGACAGTGCCACCAAATCAGTGGGGCTCAGCCATAGAGGACAAGTATCTAACAGCAGTTGTGGTCGATCCCAAATATTCCATTGAAGAGTAAAACTGATAACTTGATTGCAGCGCAAAGAGACATGATAACATGAGGTGAGCATGTTATCAAATTGGCAATAAGGGAGGTAATGAACCGCATAAACCAATGCCTTTGGAAACGCGTAGCACAGGACAGCGCTCAAAAATAGCACCGGTCACACCGCAAAGGGAATTACAATTCCCGAACATGCTTGCATCAACGAGAAGAGCAAAGTAGATAGAAGCCACACGAGCCCAAAGGCTTCGAACTCGTGTTCCTTGGGCTACAGGGTGTGAAGGCCGCTCCATCAGATCAGTTGAAGCTGTTCACGATCTGGGAAGATACACAATCACAATAGAACTATAGAAATTAACGAAAACACTTGATCAAACTACGATGATGTGAGCATGGAGGCGCGGAAAACCCAGTTGCAACCGAAATGAACTTCGACAACGGTGAGACGAAAGCAGTGAGACAACACAAGCGACCTCATAGACAAAAAGCAACAACCCCAAGACAACATGGGTGTTCATACAGAACAAGAACATCGCAAAAACCTCACCGCAGTAGGATAAAGCAAGCACCAGTTAGACCGAGCCTCAAAGTTTGTTATATCTTTCAACCATGACATCGAACGGAAATCAGCGGATTCCACTAACGGTGCGAAATGACGGAAGCAAATGGGCAATTTGAAGACATACGAAAAACGACCCAGAAAAAGTCAGCTGCTCAGGTGCGACAGATGATCCATGGGTGCACCAGAGGTTGTGTAAAACAGCTGGCGGATGTCGGCATTAGCCGCCCGTTGATTTCACCGGGTATGAGCTACGGTACTATACATCTAATGTTAAGAGGAAACAAACAACTAACGGATTGAGGGCCCAGGGTCCATACCGCTGATTTTAACGCCGACATGAGACAGACCGCAGTCGTGAACAGCTGATCTTTGAATGAGGATGTAATCCAGCCGTTTGGTTTTGGTTTGCAAAAGCGACACAGGCTATCGAAATTCACAGAGTATCCTTTACGAGGATTTGACCACTGGGGATGATGTAACTACCAAGACAAGCAGTTTGATCATATCCAGTGGTTGTTCGGTGACAACAAGAACTGTGAAAGTATTAGCCCAATCCTGAAAATGTCAGACACATCCCGAAGTTAGCAGCACAACGCTTGAGTATATTCACAACAGTAATTGCATGGCGACTGTCAGACTCCAAGACAGATACACAGCCAGTATACGGTGGCCAACTTATGAGAATCTGATTAAGCCAACAAGGCAAGTTAGCAATGGAGATAACGCACTGTTCGGAATGTTGCAAAACATGTGTAACACGAACGTTCATGACCCATTCCGAACAAGGGAAATCAGACTGTAAATCCCTTCAGGTTACAGTATCTGAAACGTTCAAACTCTGAAGGATCGGCAGAAATTGAGCAGATAAACGTACGCAAAGTGACGGCAACATGCGAAAATAGGCGAAACATTCAGGGGTCCGGACAGCAACCTAGAATGTTAGTGAGTAAGGATTCACCGGAAGTATAGCTCGTCCTGTGAGGTTCCGCAGGTGTCCCCGGCACTCGTTGGACTAGACAATGCCATTAGTACGGGATCAAACCGACTAGTGAGTTGAAAGTTGTAGGACAGAAATCCAAACTACCGAGTTGATCCTAAGGCATATGATAAGCAAGTGGGACAAAATTTGAGAAATAGAGTAGTGGACATCTCTCCGTACTCGTGCAGCGTGATAACCGATAGGGGCGCACAATTTATCACCAGAACGTCTCTAAATTAAACCTCTGTGTCACAAATCATAATACATATAAGCGATAGACAGGGGACAAAATGTAGCGGCTTCTACTCATAAATGCAAATAGAAGAAAATGGACAAGTGGCACATTTTGCCTGATCAAGTCATCACAGAGGATTCTGCACCAGTATGTGCAGCGATCCGAAATTCGATAGAATAGTCCGTAATAAATGCGGCTAAATGAAAAAGGCGCGAGGGAAGGCATACGCCGAATTCAACCTAACAAGTTTCGAAAGGATTCTTCAAAGCCCCATTAAGTTATGGGAATGTTTATTGAAGAATTTTCCTACATGGACTGTCGCCCATGTAATGGATGAATGCGCAGTTTCACTTGCGCAGCATTTGGGGATGAAATCACCGGTCACACAGGTTAAAATAAGTCGATTGTCACGGCCAGATAGTGAGCATAGCATCCGGAGTGAGGCGGGATCTCAGGAACAGGTTCCACTCTGGTGGTCCGCAGAATATGATGCTGATGTGACAGGAATGAGATGAAGACAGTCAACTGACAGCAATGGGCCGTTGACTCCCACAGTAAATGAAAAACGGAATGCAAAACAACCATAGTTCTTCGCAAAGAAGACGGTTTCTGAGATGAAAGATTCTCAGGCGAAGCGCTCCATGACGTAACACAAGCTGACAAATTAAAAGTAAATAACTTCCAAACACAGAACCTAAGTCATCAGTGAATATGACGTCGTACAAAGTGAATAAGGGCAGAAATAACTACTTTATATTGAAGTGAGGTTAGACTAGGTTACGTCAACAAATTGAAGCGGCATAAGTGAAGATCAGCTATGTTGTACGGAGACGACATCAAAAGAGTGTAGACATTTTGTTAGAAATCCAAGGATGCTCAGAAGGAAGACGCTATAGCATCGAGATAAGTGAGCCAATGCTATCATTCGCCGGAGAAGTGGAGCTCAGAATAAGACCGACAAAATCAACACCAGTGTTGGATGTGGTTAATGCAGAACGGTGTCTCATTCGTTCATTTTATTGCTACAAGGGTGGACGACCGGTATCACAATGTAAGGCAAAACAAGTGCAACTGTCAGATCAGTCAATGCATTACCGCTGACCCCAATTTACTCTGACACTTGGCCTCAAGGCGTGTTGATGTTGAACTCGGCAGAACGGCATACAAGCAAATTATCGATTGAACAAGGAAGAGGATTGACAATGGCTCCATGATATGCGTACTAATCTATATGAGGTAATCAATTTGGACATCTCTCTTAATGATTCAGACTCGTATAGAATGGAATATCGGGTTTGATTGTGTTTAGCGATTTAGTGCAGAAAGAAGAGCAAAGGATGCAGAGCGATCTCTGTAGCTCTTACCCTACTTAAACCAAAAAAGAACAACTGGTGGGTGTACGCTAGCATATGCGAGCGAACGCTCGAATCGAATAACTGGTTTCGTGTGAAATGAAGTGGAGCACCTGCGAAGTTTTTCAATTTGCGAAATGATCCTTACCATGAAACAATCCCGTAAATAAATGAATCGACAGCATACGATGTCGGTTCGGTGATAACGGGAGCTGTAGGCGATTTGATCGGGTTCAGTGATATTATTCCATCTCGTTGTATGGTATTTTCGACGAATTAGAGAGACCAGACGAGCAAATAACACCAGTGATCAAATAAAAGTGGTGAGCGAACTGCGTCACAGGAAACCACAAATGCGAGATCAAGGAAAAATAATTCTATGGCTGATAAGAATGAATGGGCACGAAAAATGAGGGCCTAGTTTACTTCGACGTATAAAAGGGGCTCAGAAAGGATACCGGTGGAGAGCTTAAAAAACAGCATAAAGACGGGTAGCAATTGGGAAAACGAACAAGGAGTAACGCAACAGTGCATACTGCATTTAGACATCATCAAATGAGGTATTTAAATCAATGGTTATGTACATCTGCAGCAGGAAAAAGAACAGGGCTCAAAATCGTGGATAACGAAAGTGGTGAGAAACTTGGGATAACTTACAAAATGGATGATGCACGGATAAAGCAAAAGGAGAAAATACACAAATGAGAAATGGTCAAAGTGGGAGACGTAAGGAGTGGCATTCGAGAGAGCCAGAAAGGTCCTCAAGTGTCAGAAAATAAAGTTATGTACAAAATCTGTTTTACAGCGCGTCAGTATGCACGATAAAAGGCTATATATGCTGTTGCTTATTGTCCATAGCGCCTGATCTTCGCAAAGTAGTCCACGTATTTGCTTAGAGCTGTGGGCGATCTCGGGTAGGGCGTGAGAGATAAACCTGAGCAAAAAAGAAGAGATCGCCAAATGAAATCATGTGGTGGCAATAACACAGGATGCGATCCACAAGGTTTTACTACACGCACACAGTGACCCAAATGAATAACAAATCACGAACTCCTACACTATTATGACACACCTGCACTCGACCAGATGGGGTACTGAGGTGCCGATAAAACTTTCCGGGGGAATACTCCGCAGGGAAGCAGATCCCCTGGAGACAGTTCCACGAATGGCCGTATTACTTTATTTGAACATCTGTATTTGTTATTTTTTGCAATCTGATCAACCTTTCCGATACATCCAACTTGTCATTCACTCCTAAAATTCGAACAATTACCTGCGTTATGCGATCCCGCTGTAGATACTGATCAGACCATACAGTTGGACTGTCTTGCATTGTCGAGGAAAATAAGGTTTACTAATTGGTGTTGGGTGCAGTAGGCGAGAACCGCTGTGCCCGACATGGAAGAATACATAGGAGGCGAAATATAACAAATCGATGACCGGACGGTACAATGTGATCCCGGAAAAGAGAAAAGACTATGAGCACTGCTCCGTAGCGAACGATAAGCATTATTCAACACTTTACTTGGAAGTAAGAAATCCCTGAGCTATTGTGCCGATAGACATAGCGATACACGATTACATGATATTGAAAAAAGGAGAACGGGAATAAATCACGGAACAGCTCTAGCTCAGTCAGGTAAACAACTCACATGAAAAAGTACTGGAGTGTAATCTCAAAGCCTCGAATGTGAGTATGACGAAAATCGGCTAGCGACTTACAAATATAAAAAGGGTTCACTGGCGACATCCTCACGCAGCACCATCGTGCAACGTCTCCTTACAGTGAGACACTCCGAGAGATGTACTATCCTCAATAGTATATGTGGAATGTCTAGTGTCGTAGATCTGCAGCCGTTCAACGGTACTCAGGACAGTTGAAGATGTTCGGGCAGACCGCCTGTAAGAGGCCGATCCGGGTCTAAAGTCAGAGTCGACAACATCAGATTTAGTAGGTGTGGCAATGGAGAATTGTTCATCCAAATCACGCAAGCACTGAATCGCATCCGCGCGAAAATGTTCCACCATTTCAGTTGTCAGAAGTTGCAGATGACGAATGGATTGGAGTAACAGAGATTTTCGCTGTGATATTCCCTTCAAGATCCAAACAAAAGGTGTAAAGAGATGGGGGTAAGAAGCAATAAAATGAGAACATGTATGTGCAGTAGCTAAAAATGGGGTCGAGTGACGTGAAAAAGGCCGTGCAGGCACGAACCACGCATAAATGTTTGCAGCACATAGACTAGGAGTTAGAAAGATACTACATCCATGCCACTGTGTTTCAACCACTTGTTCTAATGATTAGCTATGGACTTTACACAGGATGGATAAGTAAAACAGATAGGAATTGTTTACCAGGTCACATGAGCAGAGAACGGAAACCGTAAATTCCATCTTTTTACGTTTTTATGGTAGGTAACCCAAATCGCTGCTACTGAATTTCAGCACCCAACTTGAATTTACAACTGATGCAAATCTCACATTACCTACAAGTTTTAAGGGGGAAGGATGATCAAATTTGATTAGCTATAAGTTAAACAGCGCTTCCGTCGGAACGATACTGGACGTTAACGTGCTGCGACGGTTTGCGTACCTCCTTGACTTACTGAGCTATACTCGGTGATACCTCCGGGCACCTTGAGAGCTACTCCCACCAAGTTGGTCAATGGTGAGAGGTCAGACAAACTCAATCTTCTGGTCCTCCAGATTGGGGGTTTGAAATGGGATGGCGTCCACTTCATTAAAACTAAATCATCGCCATCTCCACGCTGTCTTGCGGACAGGCTTTTGAGTCAAAGGCTTTGGTTGAGGACCCTAATTGTCCTTCTGTCTAGGTCTGGGCGCCCTGGCAGTATCTCAGCCCACATACAACCATGACATTTTCTTCAAACATAAACTTCATCCAGCATCGGCGGTCGCGCAGATTATCAAGGGTCGCCTTATCTGCTGCATACAGCAGGGCGGATAAGCGAATACACGCTACGGCTAGCGCCTCCCCTCTTCCTTCTCCACCTTTTTCTCTAACTCCCATCCCGACCCCCATTATTAACGCTCCTTCTATAATTCCCAGCTTAATTGACAGCAACCGAAGTGCCACTGGAGTAGAACTATCTGCAGCCACCATCCCACAGCACCTATCGGCAAAAGTCCCTTATAAGGCCACGCTATTTCGTGTCCATGGCGACATTCAACGTTCGAACTCTACGACAAACAAGTCAACAGGCTGCACTCGCACGCACTTTGGACACACTGAGCATTGATGTGTGTCGTGTGTCCGAAACTAGGATCAATGACCCTAACGGGGTTATTGAATTAACTGCACCCGGCTTATCCTCTCGTTATTGGTTGCACGCATCCGGAGACGCCGATGCAGCACTCACGGGTCAAGCTGGTGTAGGTATCATTCTAAGCTCCAACGCTATGCCATCGTTGGTTGATTGATTTCCGATGAACAGCCGTTTATGTGCAGCCCATTTGACGACATCAGCTAAGGTAGATTTACGAAGCAATACAAAACGCAGTTTGTGATTTCCGTTTATGCTCACAGCGGCTGCAATTCTAATGCTGTCAAGGACACATTCTATCAGGAACTGAGCGCGCTACTATGCAGTGCTACTAGTTCAGACATTATAGTACTTGCAAGGGATATGAACGCACAAGTAGGGCGTCTGAGCACTTGAAAAGCTCAGCTGGGTGGTAATTATAGGCTTAACTCCGAAAGGACTGACAACGGTGTGCGTCTGCTGCAACTGTGTGCGGAGCACCAGTTGTTTCTTAGTAGCACTGCTTTTAGACACTGTGGGCGCCGAAGTGCTACGTGGCGTCCTCCTGTAGCTGGCCAGCGATGGACCCAAATTGACCACATAGCCATAAGTTACACGTGGCGTGGTTTCATCCTGGATTGCCGCTCGTACTGGAGTACCTGCGACGGTTCTGATCATGCCTTGGTACACTGTCGTTTCTCCATGAACTTTACCGGGAGGCGCACCAAGCGATTGGCAAATGATTAACTGTCTCAGCCCTCGGTCAGGCAAGCATATCAAGACGCACTGCGTACCGAACGTTCGCTGTCTTGTCCTAATGACAATAAGCTTCAGTAGAATAGCATCTCGGCTGCCATGCACGACGCAGGAGCATCTGCTTGTGACACTATCAATCGTCACCGCCCCAGTCACTGGATATCCGAGAGGTCAGTGAACCTGTTGGAATCTAGAAGACACCTCCCGGCTGGCTATGAACATAATGTGACCAGACGGGCTATTCGTCGCGTTGTGGGTGCGGTTGGAAGAGGAGGAGGGATGCCAAGTGATGACCTAGTCGAGAGAAATGAAAACACTCACTATGAAGTTGGCGTCGGTTGGTGCATCCCGACTGCCTGGCTGGGGTCCTAAGGACGGTGAACACGTTTGGTTGGACACACTTGCTTATATGGCTTGGAGCCGGCCCCAATGGCGTTTGTGTTGTGAGTTCCTTTGTCCATCCCCTCCTGCTTAGCACCCCCCTCCAATCACCATCTCACTTGTTAGGCATAATATGACTCTCTTTTACGGCAGCCAGCTGTTAGCTCTCCGGAACGATGTCTATCCGTTACTGGGGACTCAGCGGGTGTGCCACAGTTTGTTCTCCTTTTCTTGTCTTTTGTATTGCGGCACAATAGCTGAGGTGTCTTCCACCTCCAGCTAACGTGTAATGATGAGTCGCAAACTAAAGCTGAGTCTACGTGCTGACAAGGAAGCCTGGTGGACCAGTAAGAGCTCAGGAAATGGAGGAGGCTGGAGCAGTACGCAATTACCGCAAGCTCTTCCGGCTGATCCGACCCACTGGTCACAGAAAACCAGGCGTCAGTGAGACAAACAGAGAGCGTGGGTGCACTTATACACAATAAGGAAAGCCATATGGCTCGCTGGGCGGAACAATTTCAAGATCAGTTCAGCTGGCCCCCTGCTCCCGGATCTCTTCCTACTCAGGTGATGCAGCACGAGCCATGGACGGTTAGTTTAGAGCTTCCGTCGGAGACCGAAGTCCGAAACGCGATCACAGCACTCAATCGTTTTCGTGCCGCTTGCCCGGATTCCCTCCAACCTGTACTATTTAGGGATGGAGGTGAGGTTCTCTGCAAAGCACTGACGTCCCTATTCGAAGGTATCTGGTGTCCCGGCTAATTGGAGCGAATCGATTATAGTGGCAATATACAAGAAGGGTAATCGCACAGACTGTCCTAACCACATGGGTACCAGCCTAACGCCAGTTGTGACAAAAGTACTGGCCTCGATTCTCCTTCGTTGCCTCACTGTGGAACGAGAATCTCGGATTAGGGAAGAGCAGGCCGGTTTCCGCCCAGGAAGTGGCTGTATAGACCATATACTCACTCTGCGGCAGGTGCCAGAGCAGCCACACGCATACCGCAGACCGACAATAGCCGTGTTCCTTGATTTCAAGAGTGCGCCCGATTCAGTCGATCGATCGATTCTGTCCAAAAAACTTGCGCGGAAAGGTGTTCCCACGAAATATGTGAACATCCTTCGTGCTCTATACTCGAAAACTACAGGCCGCGTCAGGATCTATGGTGTCCTATTGGATAGCTTTCCGACCACAAGTAGCGTTCGTCAGGGTTGTCCGATTTCCCCATTTTTGTTCAATTTCGTCGTGGATTCTATCATGGAGTGTTTCCTTGCGGGATCTTATGATGTAGTCGCTGAAGTGCTGCCTATGAAAAGGTTAATTGATCTAGATTATGCGGACGATATCGTCTTGCTTTTCGACAATGTTGAGGCGGCATAATCAACTCTGAATAGCCTGTCTGGAGTGGTCCCATTATATGGTATGCACTTCGCACCTTCAAAGTGCAAAGGGTTGCTGCAGGACCACCAGTATTTTTATGACTCATTGACCCTTGCTAACGAGAAACTCGAGGTGGTTGATAATTTCACTTATCTTGGCAGTTGCATCAGCAACGATGGGCGCATAGAAACTGAAGTCAGTTTACGCACTGTAAAGGCCAAAACCGCCTTCTTGTACCTGCGGCATCTTTGTGGACAGAAGGGAATTTCTCTCCGTCTGAAAGACCGTGTATACAAGGCCACAGTGAGGGCCGTTCTGCTCTATGGTAGTGAGACTTGGCCCCTTCGGTATGAAGATCTGAGGCGCCTTCAAGTCCTTGATCATCGTTGTCTGCGAAGCATTGCTGGTGTCGAATGGCACCAGCATGTCCGCAACGATGATGTTCGTAGACGAGTACTAGGTGGTGATAATCATGCTAGCTCCCTAGAACAACAGATAGCACTGAATAAGCTGCGTTGGCTCTGGCACGTGCTACGTATACCTGATCACCGCTTACCTAGGAGGGCCTTGTTCAGTCTACCAAGTGTAGGGTGGCGCAAGGCTCGAGGTGGAAAGATGTTGACTTGGCAGCGAGAAATGAAGGCCCTGACAACCAAGCTGGGTGCCATTGGTCCGTCTCGCCTTCCGGGCTGGAGTCCACTTGACTCGCCTTGTGCTTGGCTCGAGACTTTACAGGACATGGCTCGCAGTAGATACCAGTGGCGCATCTGCTGCCGTCTCCTAATCGGATTGCCTGTTTAAAGTGTGTTTGGTGCTGAGTTATCTGCGGGATAATGCCTGATTATGAAGCGTGGCAGTGAAAGCCGCAATGAAGCTGTCTCGCCGATGCGCCTTATCTCTGCACGATAGCCAGCTGTTTGTGACGGTATGTTGTCTACACAAGGTGTAGGCGCCTTGACCCTTTGCTTAGGGCATTAAGGTTTACAGGTAAGTCCCCCTTCTCTCCCTCTTCTTCTTCTTGATTTCATAGGTCCTCATGGTTGTATGGCAGCGAAGCATCAGTTCAAATGGCTGATGTACTGCTGTTGATGATGATGAAACAGCGCTTAGTATGTTGGACTGAAGCGATGAGTGATGGTAGAGATAAATGTAATGGCTACCACAGACAGCAGCAGCAGGGTATCAGCACGCGAAACTACCGTATCAACGCCATACGACAACGAACTAGGAGACTGATATGAAGAAGAGAGATGGAAACCTCCTGCATGGCGCAAACATTCCGGATTAAGGAGCATACAGCTTGAGCAAGCTGTAAGGCATCAGTAGTATACCGGTACAAAGTACCGACGCTAAGCTGCCGCGCAACCACCACTGGTCGCACGCGGGCTAAGAATACTGCAACGGTCGACCTGCACCTACGCAGGCTTGAACCCGCGCCGTCAGATTAGAAGACAAGTTCGTTACCTTTAGGCTCTGGGCCGGCTGAAGAAAGAAGTGCGCAAATGGACCATTGTTTTTATGTTCAAAGACCCCAAGTTAAAACCATCAAGAGCGAGTCCATCTACAACTGCGAAAGCAATAGGCGTACGGCTAACAAACCACGACCAGGGTATTCAGAAGAAAAGGGTACAATCACTGCAACTTTCGTGGCCGACAATCAGACAGAAAGGAAGTGACTGCACTTCTTAAACCCACCTGACCTCAATCGCGTGATCCGAGGATGGACACCATTGACACAGACCAAATTTTATAATCAAATGACTCTTTGTTATGCAGACTATTAAAACCGACCGTACACTAAAGCATATTAATGTGTAAGGCTGAGAAAAATTTAATCGAAAACAATTGGTTGCTTAAAGCATCGCGTTTTTGTTCTTTCTGATAATGGGATATCTGGACGTGGGTTCTCTGATACACAAATCGTCTGTACCGCGTTACGTTCTCTAAAGCAGAATGCCAGAGAACTAAGCACCGATGTTTCGCTGTCATAAAATCGCAAATGGTTGCCTGCGAGTCGGAATATTGTAGTGATGCCCAAACCTATGCAGCAACGACAGTAGTAACGATGCGCTTATAATGGTGGACGAGGTTCGAAACGTACTTGGGAGCGAACTAGAGTAGAGCAAAGTGCTTAACGAAGAAGCTGGAGTAGAACAAATGCGTGAATACGAAGAGAAGCGGTGGTGTCCAGTCCAATCGACATTTAGATTATCTCATTCACCAAACAATGAATTTGAATAAGATGCCGAGAGAAATTGATCTAGAAAAAATTGAAATCGCTGGAAAGCGAAGTAAGGAGCCAATGACTCTACGAACGCGCCATATCCGAGAGGGCCCCTTTCAGAAATACATGCACCATATTGTAGGTCAACTAAGCAAAACGGTGTCAGGACGTAAGTGATAAACGCATCACGCTTTGAGCGTGGGAAAACAGGTACCCAGTAGACGACGATTCCAGTGACAGCCATATCACTTGAACTTATTGCAATGAACAACTTCATTCTATTTGCAACTTCGTTGTCTTTCAAACTCGCGAAAAGTTACCTAGGAACTGCATTGGAAAGCTTGAACAAATATGTCTATCCCTTGCGACTTTGTTGTATCTAATGATTAGAGTACCTAGTTGGACTGCATCTCGCACCGTCGAGAAATATATCACATAGTGTGAGCGTGTCACAGGTGGCTAGGTAAGGAGGAATAGTGAGGTGATGATTTTGAAACAGTGATGAACAGTGACCAAACGTGACTGCGACCACAGATTCGCTGAAAATAATTGAGCAAGCTATACGGTTCGATATATTTATCGACCGAGTCGACATCGGCGAATTTCACTGCCCCGCGTTATAAGCTACGTTGCTTCACAGATAAGAGAAGTATTTGTACCATAAGCAATTACTATAACTGTGGGTAACAGGAAGCACGCCATTAGTGCCGGATGTGTGTTATCACTTAAAATGCTTAAAGCGTGAACCCCAACTTGGACAAACGGGTAAATGAGTAACGTATCGGCAGTTCAATAAGTGTGATGAGTTAACAGCCCAAAAAAGTAACGACATTCATGTGTACGCATCCCCTGAATAAAGTAGTGAAGATTTTACAGGGTTGTGATGACGGTTGCTTCGCAAGTACTGGGGACTAAAGTGAATTCAAATCGGGAACTCAGACCGATTTCAAAAGCCTTGTATGCTCTAGAACGAGATATATTTCCCCAAGGTCGCCAGGTAACCAAATGGAAAAGTAGTGAAACAATCCCGCATATGTACACTCTCAGTCCGACGATAGTAACTTATGGGCTTTAAGTGGCCAGAGATATCGATCCTCCGATAGCAGCAATATGAAAGCATATCAGACATAAGCTACGGATCGTTTCGTATAATCGACGGCCCTCGAAGTAACTGCACTAGACGAGTAGAGGTGAAGGGGGAAAAGGAGCGGGGTGAAGTAGCTGCATCGACACAACCTAGCCAGCAAAAAAGCACGACAGATGACTGCATTATGCGAAAAGTGATGTAGTATGGTCTATCGCTCTATACCATCCCAATCGTAGCCTATCAAATGATCCAGAAGGGAGTAAGGCGATAGTTTATCATAGAAAAGAAACCCACCTTGCAGAGGTCAACTGCCTCTTCAAGACCTTTCCGAAGTTCGTCGTCCATGCAGTTAATTGACATTACGGAAGGGGCATTGATCGTCGAGGCTACGAGTTCCCAGACTTCTTTCGGTTCAACAGTAGTGTTTGAAATGATACCGCTCGGCAAGGGACTTCGAGATGGCTGCCGTAATGACAACGGTATAAGCTGTCCCCGATTAGACACAGACGTCGCCACGGAGCAAGGGCTATGGTGAAGGACGGAATCCAAACTAGAAACAAGTGCTCCCAGTGACAAGAGCGACTGACGTTCCGAGTAAAGCTGGGGTAATAACGAAGCGATGAGAGAACGAAAAAAAGCGAGCAGTTAGCCAGTGATGCCAAAAAGAAGAAACCGGCTGTTGGAAAATATTAAGTTCCAAACTTACCAGCAAATCCAAGTTGTTCGCACAAGTGAGGGCGCGGCAACCAGTAACGCTCAGAACGGACGACGAAGATAAAGGGAATCGGACAACTTGCAGTTCCTTTTGTCTAGACATCAAGGAAAATAGATCAAGAAGCAGGCGCCGTCGAATAGCGGAAATATGGGACGCAGGGGCGACTTCGGACATTGCATCACCGGCCGCCTGCTGTACCGAAGCCCGACGGCGACGGCTGACGGAAGATAATAGGGATGTACCTCGTTCTATGAGAGAAGATTTAGGGAAAGCCCCTGTGCGAAGGTAACATGTTCGATCGAATCTTGATTCACATTTCGGGCGGATTTCCAGAGGACTAAAAGTGACAAGTATGTACATGCAGGTGAAAACAGGAAAAAGAAAACACACCGGACTGCAAAGTGAGAAAATCGCCACCAATGAAAAGACGAGAAACAGTGCCTCATATACGTAGCACGACTGCGATTAGCCGAGGCGGGTTGCATAAAACGACGTAGGCGAACGTAAAGTGATACATACGTAAATATAAATCAAGCAAAAAGACACGTGATATGGAGATTAATGAGTATCTCAGGAGAAGAATTGGTAGAAGCACAAGTAAAATGAATCGAATGTATATCACTGTCTTTACTTGCCTCAGAAAATGTGATGACTTGGCCCTCCAAATAGTCCCACCACGCGATGATGATTTCGACATGATGGACGGTCTTGTGGGCATCCCCCTGATGATCCAATGTAAACCCGTGGAAGGATCAACAACTGATAAGACGTCGGATTTGCTGCTATCTGGAGGATGCATCACGTTTTCAAGAATGGGGCTTCCAAGACTGCTATCAACCTTAAGGCGTTTTGAAGGAGGTTCGTTTGAAATTTTCTCTTGCTCCCCAACAATGGGGTGTGCTGACGCAGAAGTAGTAATGAGATCCTGAGAGCGCAAATGAGATGACATAAATGGTGGTAAATGCTGCTTATCATTAACAGCGCCTTCAGATGGTGGATCAGAGCTCCCATTTTTCAAGGAATTATTCTGTGTGCGCGATGCGATTTCAGCTTCGAAGGCAGTCTGATTGGGTTGTGTGTCTTTGTGACAAGACGAGTCATCTGCACACTCCCGCGCTACTGTAGGATAGCTGCGATCCAAAAACAGTTCGGTGTGAATAGGATTCTGTGGAGAGAGCAAATGTCGATGCAGCAAAGAAGTGCTGCTCGTTGATGGGCATCCTCGAGGGGCAGTTGGAGGGGACATGACAGCATCCAAGGAAGGCTTCGGCTGGAAGGGAGACAAGTCATATCTTGAATAGAGAGTAAGAACGGCGTATAAGTTAAACGGATACACGACTGCCAGTTTGTAGAATATAACCGACAGATAAATTCAGTTGGGTACCATACCGTTTCCGCGGAAATGGTGATGTTCTGGAGTAGAATAATTAGGCGAATGAGTCATCAGGCCGGCGTATGTCCAACAAAAGTTCGGTACTTTTAATTACTAATTTACAGGGATCGGGCCACCAGCGTGCACCGAAACTAGGCTTGCAAGGAACTCAGCAGCCGAGATCATCGCCCATGATGAGCAGATAATGGGCAGCGCGTAATTGTTACATGATCAGTTAGACCGCCATAATGTCTATAACACGGCGCATGCGTGCCGTCTGGCGTTCAAACTCAGGGTGGGATGAATAAGAAAGTCGTCACAGGTGCCCAGTTATCATGATGCTGATGGACAGTGTTGGGGTCTACCGGACAGTGTCTAAAAAGAGACCCACAGATGAAGCAGTGGAGTGCATACTGAGAGGACGCCGTTCGAGCTAATCAAGTAACTCTCCACGAATAGCTGGGAACCCCTGAATGCGTTGTGCATTTTCTGAGAATACCTCATCGAGTTAAAGCAACGTGGTGGTCGAATAATAGGGTAGAAGGGAGAGTTTATTTGGCTTGTAGAATGGATCGATCAGATCACTCGCTACAGCTTTTCTCTGACGATCTGCAGTTTGGTGTCACACTAGCACTATCACTTCTTTCCAGCTGATTCCTCTGTTGAGCCAGCGAAATAAGCAATTTAAAACTTGTCCTTAACTGTTGGCTTACTCATAATTGTTATCTTTTCTCGGAGTGATTAGCTTCCACCATGGTATTTCACAACCGGGGTTCGTCCCTGTTTGGACCCGCCAGCCAGAGATGGCCAAAGCTTGGAGTGAAACCCGGTATGTAGTGGTTTGTGGCTAAGGCTATGCTCACTAGATCATTGACCTACACAAGCGAGCAACACCGAAAACCCGTCCACGGTTTCAGTGCACTGAGTGACAACCGTTAACTACAAAGTAGATCGTAGTCCCTAATATGATTGCGTGACGCGAGCCGAACATACTGTGGGTACATCTTAACCCGTTATCCGTAAAGTTTGTTGTCATAGTAACGTAAATTGGTATTCCATGCAGGTGTGCTTTGGTGTCTGGAGGGCAGAAAACTTAGAGTGAACTATGTGTCTGATTTCGTCAATAATGCGGGGCCTCTAAATACAGATGAAGGCCCTTCTTCATGATCAGCTATTTTCCTACCACAAGACTACTCATAGGAGTTTTCTGCCTAATACTCTACTGATAGGTTTTAACAGTGTAAATCGAAGGTGGATACTTAAAGATCGAACACATCAAAATCTATATTGGAAAAGTAGTGTCTGTACCTACCAAACATATCGGAAAATGGGCATAATCACCCACGGAAGCAGGTCACTGTAGCAATCACAACACGATGATTCCAGATTCCGAAATTAGTAGGACACCGAAAAAAGGCCAAGTGTTTAAAAGACAGGATATTGAGCAATTGCTCTGTAAAGATATGTTACTCCAAACATCCCAATCGAAATTCATTGCATTTGAGCGCCTCCGTTTGAGCTCGTTGATAGCAGGACAATCACATAGAATTACCTTGTGGTAAGACGAACAATCCTCTAAATGGATTGACACTTCCGAGTGTGGCATGAGGCACAAGTTATTCGGGGTTTTTATTTCGTTCCTTTGGAACTCAGAGCGTTTTCGCATGATCTACCAAAACGAGACATTTACCACGAATTTCTGCAGCAGCAAGATTCGTTGATTTACAAGAGATCGTCAGCTGTACGTCGTAACGGCGCTTCGTTGCCGCGCGACCACCACCAGTCGCACGTGGGCTGAGTATACCGCCAGGAGGCCCGCCTCTACGCGGATCCGAACTAGTGACCGGGCGTGCAGGCCATTTGGCCACCGGCCGACGATTTACGAGGACATTCACAGGATATCCTACTCGTACATCGTACGTGGTACTACTATACATACGCAGTGTTTGATCAATGGCCCACTGCGTTTGGCTATGACAGTAAACTCGAAGTAGTATGCACTACCTGCTACGGGTGCAAGTCGATTTCGCACCATTTGCCTATTTGAACTGGATTTTCCCGCGGATATCAGAAAAGTACTCTCCGAAAGCGGCAATAGGCGTTGGTATTGTTGGTGCGAGAGTATGAATATTGCGCACAATAAAATAAAACATCTGAGTATTCCACAGCACTAAAGTCGTTCAGGACAGGTAGCTAGCCGATTGGAACAAAATATTTCTTTCACAAGGATCGTACCTGAAATGGTGTTTCGGATACGGTCTATGTGATCGGAATGACCGAGGTCTCAAGAGAGATTGCATGTCGCAACCCAACTACACGGCATGTATACCCGATCCGAAGTATTTCATTATTACCCCAGGATAAGATTAGTAGTGGGCAGTTCCATGCATAGTATTTTAAAACGAGTCAGGCGTTCTGAAGTAACACAAGCTTTACCTTTGAGCCAATCTGATGAGTAACATCTGCAGCGAATACGGAAATGCACCAAGCGGTTTCCGAGTTGCCCTCATAGTGGCCTGGTAATAATCGGTTAGCTGATATAAAAGTGATGTGTCATTGGAACTGCTTCAAACCAAATGCGATTTGCGGCCATTGATCGGTAGCACATAAAAATGGAGAGTTCAGGTATAAAAGTGTGAGTCTCTTAATGCAATCCACATTGCATATAGATCTGGACAACCAGAAAATATGCGCGCCACTAAATCGCAGTTAAGTGACAACGAAGGAACAGCCAGCCAATCCAGTAAGATTCCGTTTTCTGCCGGACGTGCTTTTTACACAACATGCGTCTTAGACTGCTCGATAAGCATCCGAATTTGCTTCGAGACCAAAGTAACTACCCGGGAAAAGGTAAAAATATAAAGGAAAACTATTAGTTTAGCAATTAATTGCTTATCTTCGATCGTGCATTGATTTCGAAGAATCCGGAACCTTTCATTCCTTCACGTGATCGCCAGCATACGGAGTTTTGGCAGGGAGGCTATTAATTTTACCAGTTGACCTTCATTTTCTAGAAACCGAAGGTCATTGAGCCCCCCTATATATTTGGCGTAGGTCTGGTGTAGTTGTATAGCGTTTTGGCAGCATCTTTGGCTACGTTGGCAACGTTTCTGTAAACACCTTTTTCGTGGTCAAGGTCGTTGGACTTTTACTTTTTCTTCGGTTGGGCAAGAATTTTTGCGGAAAATTTTTTGGGTGTTTAATTGGGAATAGCGAGAAAAGTGAGGACCTAACGATGGCGATGGACAAGCACGAAAACGTTACAAATTTTTCTGCCGAACATTTTCAAAAGCTGCTTCTTCAGCAACAATCACGGATGGAAGCACAAAGGAAACTGATTGTAAGTTTGACGCAGTGCTTGAACATACAGTCAAACGAAGCAGCTACAAGGGACACGCAGGCTGTTTCACTTGATCTTCTTACGAATTCAATCACTGAAGTTCATTATGATGCCAATTCCGAAAGCACATTCGAGGCGTGGTTCAAACGCTGGGAGAATGTGTTCCAGAGGGATTTCAGCCGTCAAGATGATTCATGGAAAGTGCGTCTTTTGCTCCGCAAGCCTGATACTAATGAACATACAAGATTCGTTGACCACATCTTGCCCAAAGAGCCGAAGGACATCACTTTCAACGAAGCAGTGGCAACACTCAAAGAAATTGTTGGTGAGTCGACATCTTTGTTTAGTATTCGCTATCAATGTCTAAAAATTGTTAAGCATGATAGAGACAATAATGGGGCACTAGTAGACATTGTTAACCATGAATGTGAACGATTCAAGTTACGCTGTTTGACGGATGACCAGTTTAAGTGTCTTATATTTATCAGTGCTTTACAGTCTCCACGCGACGCGGAAATCCGCACTCGGCTCCTTGTTAAGTTGGATCGAGATCCAGATTTGACACTGAAGTCTCTTGTAGGCGAATGCAAACGGTTGATTACCTTGAAACACGACACCGCTATGATTAAGCAGTCGCTCCAGCATTGCCGATACTGTTCATGCTGTGCAAAAAGTAAGAAAGGCTGGCTCGAACAAGCCATTCAGCAGAACGACGAAGAAGCCGCCTACACCTTGTTGGTCACGTGGTGAATAGCATTTCGCACGATAGTGTCCATTCAAGCGTCACATCTGTGAGAAGTACCATAAACGCGGCCACAAGGAAGACGATTGTCATCAGTCCAGGCCAAGAAATGTGAAGCAGTCCTACCGAGGGAGAACTTCAGGAAGCCTGACGCAGAATCACTATCGATGATTGCCACGTTTCACAGCGATCCTAGAATACGCCGATTTATCACTGTACTTATCAACGGAATTCTAATCCGGCTGCAGTTCGATACGGCATCAGATATAACGATCATTTCCAAGGACACTTGGAAGCACATAAAGTAACCGAAGATGGTTGATTCTAACAAAGTCGCCCATAACACATCCGGTGGAGTTCTGAAGCTGGTCGGAGAAATAAATTGCAAAACTGCATTCAACGGAATGGAACAGGCCGGAACCTACTACTTGTCAGACCGACCTACTTGGACTTGACTGAATGGAAAAATTACAACTGTTTGATGTTCCAATGTGGGGAGCATTAGGCCCCTGTTTGACAAAGGAACAAACGAAAGGCGTATGAACTGAGAAATCAGTCACCGGCTACCAATGGGCGCGATTCCCTGAATTCGCTCCGCTGCCTTGCGGGCAGGCTATTCAGCCAAAGGCTCGGGGTGGTGTCCCCTAAGTCAACACCCTACTCCGGCATTGACAACCGGGTAGTATCTCGCCCACTTACGAAACCATGGACTTTAATGTGTTGTGTTTTCTTTTACAACTTTTGTACCTTCTTTTGCCTTCGATGATTTCTGATGGCTCTACGCCTATTCATAGACTGTTGCATATATATATATAT